AGTTGCCTCATCTGTGAAATGAGGTAAATTTCTGTCAACTTTAGGGTTGCAATGAGAAGTAAGTTTTATGAACCCCTTAACTCATACATCTGGCAAACATTTATTGGACCTAATACTTACTCAGTAATGCCATTATGTCCTTTAAAAATAAAAACATCCCTGACTTTCTATTAAAATAACAATTCAAAACTACAGTTTTGGGTTAGGGCCATGGCTTAAGTGGTAGAGCTTCTGCCTAGCAAGCACAGGGTCCTTGTTTCAAACTTCAGGGGAAAAAAAAGACGGCTTCTACACGCTTATGTATTAGAGAATGGTTTCTTCACAGCCGTTGGGTAAAAAGCTGGCCCGCATAGGGGGAGGGATAGAGCTGCACCTTTTGACCAAAACCCTGTCATTTCTTTCCACTACTATTATCTTCTCTCACGTGATAAAAGCAAAGAACAAATTTTGATAAATTAACCTTGCAGGTCTGTTTACAGCTCTCCCACTCCACCCAGTGGCAGGAAGGCACTGGTAAAACATGAAGATGTAGAAAATTTTTTAATTTTTAATAATAATTATTATTATTATTCATCATGTCCTCTAGCAGTGGAGTAAGATTTCATTTTAAATGAATTCTCCTTTGGTTATCTCTGGGTTGCCATTTTCACAGCCTGCAAATGGGTAGATAACCATTTAGCTGAGCAGCTCTCCACAAGAGGTATTAAGAAGTGCCAGAAGTCAGAGAGCACTGTGCTGATCAGTTATTGGTACAGGTGGTAATTAAAAGTGTTGTTCTACAGCCTCATTAAAAAGCAATGCAGCATTAATAAATATTAGAATATGTCAGTAGCACTATATAAATGTGGAAAAGAGATCAATTTCCTTTGTAATTGTGTGCACAGACATAAATACTTTCTTTGGAACACTTAATTCAATGGAGCAGCTGGGAGGAGAAAAGAATGGGTTTTTCTGGGGAGCTTCTCTCTCCCATCTTCCCTGGCCATGCCTACTGGCCTAACCTTGGATCAAGGCCTTGCTTGCCTGAGGCATTTGAGCTACAGAGCTGGAGGAGAGGCAGAGTCTGGAGTCCTCACTGGAAGGCAGCCAGAGCACAGCCAGCTGCTCCAGGACTCTTTTTTTTTTGGAAAGGGGTTATAAACAAGGCCCTTAAGAACCTTCACAAACATCCCTTCCATGTCACGTCAGGGAGTTTGGTGTTTCTGTTTCAATCCTATAAGAAGGGTTGTTTGGAGGTATTGGGCCAGTGAGGTTATTTATCAGAGCAAGACCCATCCACACCTGTCCTCAAGCACTTTGTATTATGAATCTATCTGTGCTTACTCAGTCTGTCAGTGAGTATGTAGTCAGTCTGTGGCAAAACACCCCAGTGAGAGAGCCTAACAAAGTGAAGTGTACATGCATTTGCTTGGGCTGGGAGGAAAGTTACTAAACTATCCCAACAGAGCACCATCCAAGTTATGATTTGGAAAGTATTGGGTTCTCTGGAAACTTATTTTACAAGGGTGCTTAAGTTGGGGTTTTGGGAGGTGGCAACAAAAAAGTCCCCAAAGCCATGTAACACACAGCTGCTTAGGAATGGCTGGGGGTCAGACCAGTGGAGTGCCACAGACCTCTGTGTGAAGCTCGCACCATAAGCACATCTTACATTCATGAATGTCCAAATCCGTCCCTTTTCCCCCAACTTGAGAACAGTGGTTCTAAGTCAGATGCAGCAAAGGATGTTAATTAAGGAACTCAGTTATTTAAAAAGCCTATTTAAGTTAACTCAAAAAAGATCAAGCTAGGTGAGAGGCTAAGATGAGGAGAATCGTAGTTCAAGGCCAGCCTGGGCAAAAATGTTGGTGTGACCCCATCTCAACAGAAAAAATCTGTGCATGGTGACGCTTGCCCATCTCACAGCTACAGCAGAAAGTATAAAATAAGATTGCAGTTTGCCAGCCTGGTCAAAAATGAGACACTATCACTAGAAGAACCAAAGGAAAAAGGGCTAGAAGTGTGACTCAAGCAATAGTATGCCTGACTAGCAAGTATGAAGCCCTGAGTTCAAACCCCAGTACTGCCAAAAAAAATTTTTAAGAACCAAAAATGATCAAAAGCATGCATATGGAAGGGAACTCAGTCAAAACTGAATGAACAGTTAGTTCTCAGAATGAGTAGAACCATAAGAAAATAGCCCTAGGAAGAGCAGGGTGTGAGATGGAGTGGAGCCCAGGAGCAGTGTTCTAGGGGCTATGTGGAAGTCGTGGGAGCTTTGTGCTGAGGTTGAAGGGTACCCAAGAGAGAAAGCCAGAAGCTAGAAGGGCCTTTGTATCTTCACTTAGATTTCTGCCCTGGCACACGGGAGGACAGGTGAAGAGAAAAATCTAGTCCATGTCTCTGTTGAGGGAAGTAGAAATTTACACATTTAACTTTCATTCACCTTCTGGTCCAGAGACTGATTTGCTTCTGTGTCAGTCAGGACTTTTGCTTCATACTCTGTCATTACTCTGTGAAAACCATGCTTGAAGATTAATGTTTAAATCCCTTAGCCTCGTATCTAACACCTGCCATAGTCCAGCCCCTTGTCCTGCTTTTCAGCCTCTGGGACTCTGGCTAAAACCTTATCAAATGAAGTAAAATGCACAGTGAGATTGTATTAATGAAATGATAAACCTTTGCATCTATGTTAGTTATCAATCAATGTATGACAGATGATGCTAATAGTAAAAAGAACATTAGTGTCTCACATATGTGTGTTCAGAAATCCAGGTCCAGCTAAGCTGGGTCCTTTATCACACCCAAGGTCATTCACAAGGCAGTGGTTGAGATGTGTTGGGCAGGGCTACAGATGTCTCAGGACTTCCAAGCTTGCTGACATGGTTGTTGGCTATATGCCGTTCCCTATGTCCTCACTCCTCAGTCACTGTTGGCCTGAGTCTTCCTTCAGTTCCTTGCCAGGTGGATTTCTCCACAGGGCAGCCCACAGCATGGCAGTTTGCCAGACTGAACAAATGAAGAGGCAAAGGGAGCAACATGGAAGCCACAGGCTTTTGTAACCTAGTTTCAGAAGTTACATTCCATCACTTTTGCCATATTTTTACTTATCAGAAGCCAGACAATGGGTCCAGATACACCAAAGATTATGCAAGGATAGGGACACCAGGAAGCAGGATCTGTCAACTGCCATTTTGAGAGCCAACCACAACATTTACAAAGTAATGTGTTGTTCAAAGTAATACCAGCCCCTAAACGGCCGAGCAAGGATGAGATGCCAGGAGTTTGACATTGTAGAAACTTCTTTCTCATTTAGAAGGGTGAGTGGGTAGGTGCTCTGTTCCACAGATACTCCAGGCTCTTTAAAGAAGTCATTGCCATCTTCAAAAAAAAAAAAAAGTCTTCAGTGGTTGTCCCAGCTGACAACATTCTAGAAGGCAACAGGTAAAATAGAGAATGGAGAGTCATGCTGGAGATGTTTATGGACATGGTTTTGTATCCATTCACATTCTTTTGACCAGAGCTCTGTCATGCAATCCTACTTAGATGCAAGAGGGCATGGATGACAATTTCTTTCTAGGCAGAGATTTCCTGCAGCAGCACCACACTCTAGCTGAGGAGCAGGAATCTAGGGACATCCCCACCAGGTCTGCCACCAGTACATTGCCATTGACAAAATGCTTTCTCACATATTATTTCCTTTGATTCTCATTATAGCTATGCTGTCAGCTATACTATCTTCATCTCACAAACTTGGAAGTGGGCCGGCATATTGTGTAGAACCTTCAGGGTGTGTGCCCGCAGAGAACACTCATGTCCCATCTCTACCACTTCTCACCTGTGACCGTGCAGGAGTTACTTCACCCCTCTGTGCCTCAGTTGCCTTGTCTATAAAATAGGGGAAATAGGACTTACTCATAGTTGTTGTGAAGATTTCGTATGCCGTATGTAAGTTGCTTAACATTATGTCTGACCCTTGTTAGCGTGTGGTGAACATTCTGAGGAAGGTGATGAACGTGGTCAGCCATCACGGAGATAAAGAAGTTGAGGCTCCAAACCTTAAGTGATTTACCAAAAACTGCACAGTGCATAAATGGCAGGGGTTGAGTGTTTTAGGTCACACCTTACCACTTTTTTGGGTGGTTCCTTCTTGGAGGTGCCTTTCACCAGGTTCCAGTTTGAAGCATTTGCAAACAAGGGTTGTCAGAAGACATGATGCCCAGTGTCCCCTTTCTAGCTGCTCTGCTGGACCCAGAGTCCCAGCAGCCAAGGCTACCTCACCTTCACAGTCCAGCTGCTTCTAACTCAGTCTTTGTCTTGGTATAGGAAACACGTTGACCAGACATTTTTAGTTGCACTCTGTGTAATAAAGCAAGTTCTCCCCTGTATTTCAAGACCCTATCTGAAAAATAAACTAGAACAAAAAGGGCTGGAGATGTGGCTCAAGTGATAGAACATTTGCCTAGAGAGCACAAGGTCCTGAGTTTGAACCCCAGTACACAGGCAGGGGGAAAAAATTATGTTTAATTCATCTCCTGATAAAAAGCTGTCGACAGCTTAGTCTGCACATCCTCATGGTACTCCAGGGGCCACTCCATTCCCGCACCCGAATGTATCATTCTCCTGCATCTTTTTCCTACTTTTCTTTCAGTTCCACACTCTTAGTATTCAACCAAAGATCAGGTCAGCTCAAAAGACCTTCCTCCGTCAAACTTGCTGAACAAGTGGTTGTTAGCATTTTTTGTGTAGTCTTAAAGGAATCTCATTTCCCTTTTCTTAAGTGCCAGAGAAAATTCAGACATTGTGCTTATAATGCCAAGTTAATTGATGTGAAAAGAAGGAAAAAAATTGTCATTTGCGCATATCTAAAAAGCCAGGTCTACATCATCAAAAGTTGAAACTGTGTTATAATTAAATTGTGTTCATGTCAAATGAGACCTGGCATTGTGTGATTTCAGTTTGTGCAACCTAACCAGGTGCCACCTATGGTTTCATTTAGTGATCGTCATCATTCCCCCTTCTAGGAACCAATGTCCAGGAAGCTCAGAATATCCTCAGTAACAGCGGACTCCCTATTACCTCAGCGGTGGACCTAGAGGATGCAGCCAAGAAAGTTGTGGCCAGCGTGGCAAAGAAGTGATGCTTCATCTTGGTCTCTGTGAAAAGGGATGGTTCTCTCATCACTGTGAAGAAATAGTGATCTCTCTGGGAAAAGGAGAGGGAACACACAAGAATCACTGTATGAAAAATCTTAAATCTGCATTTCCTCAAATAAGATACCTAGACCTCCTAAATCTTAAGTTCACTTATACAGTCTTTATCAAAATAATGTCTCACAGTTTCATACTTTTGTCATAGCAAGTCTGCTCAGTGGTCAGGACTAGCAACATTGGAGAGTAGTCTATATAGCCAAATAGTGTGTGTACGTACAGGATTGGAAGCTAGGCCCTGGCTCAGTCACAAGAAATTTGGTGGACACTTAATCCTTTATCATAGGAAAATCACAGGCCATAAAAAAAATACATTATATTTAATGTATTAATTACCAAAAGGGTACCGTTAAAGCATTTGAGCAAGAAGCTGTTACACACAGAGCAGTTTCTACAAGTTCCTAATTACAACACACTTAGATGATCCCTGAATATTCTAAAATGTATCTTACAGTGGAACTTTCACATTAATATATCATGCATGTATTTTGCCATTTGCCTTAATACTGAATATACTATTTACCTCACACTAAATTTAAAGCCCAAAGCCTTATATGTGACTTTGAAGTACAAAGTTCCATCTTAGTGTCAAAACTGATGCATACTGATTGTTACGGAAATCTCTGCAGTTGAGTTATTACATCTCATGAGGAGATATCACTGAAGGATCAGACTGTTCAGTCAGAATCTTTTCTCTCCACATAGTAGAAAGATAGAAAATGTGGCTTTTTTCCATGATACCCATTTTTGTGGTGATATTTTTTAAATTATATTTTTGTTTGAATTTCAGTAAATTTTATCTGTATACAAATTTAAATAAAATTTTATGTTTTATAAGCTCTAAGATACGTGTCCATTTCTCATTGTAATCAGATTTGTTCCTCAAACCGTTTTTCTTTTAAGACACTGGCCTTTGCCTTACACATAGCTCTAAAATTAGAAAACCTCAGTGTCTCAGAATATTCCTTTCCTACTCAGCCATTTCTATTGTAGAAGATGATTTGGTGAAGGAATAAAAATTATGTACAAAGCACTGCCCAGGAGGATATCTCAGGTCTGCAAATACCAATGGAAATATAGTAGGTGTGAGCTCTGTCCATGTAACAGGCCCATGCATCTCCATTGATAACTTCCCTTTCAATGCACAAATGCATACTTATCATACTCCTTATTTTATTTAACATAATTACATTGATGTCATAAATTTTACATATGGACAAAGTTAAAAAGTCTTTATTTTGTAATCCATATTTGCCATGGAGGAAGAAACTATTGGGTAAATCAGCCTTACAGTCTCTCTCAAAAACTGTGTTTTGTTTTTAGATAGCTTAATAACTACTTAGTACAATGAAAGGAAGCAAACATGCACTTTTTTCAATTAGATAACAATTAGCATATTTGAAATTTTGCTCTTTGCAGAAGACCCATGTTTTAGTCGCTTTAAATATTGATGTTTCTAATCAACCAGTTTGGAGAAGGGAATAAAGGAATGAAGTCATTCCTGTAATTATTTTGTAAAAGACTTAATAGACAAATAGCCTTTTCATTTCAAATAAGTGGTTGTCACAATTTCAGAATTAAGCTTTTTAATTTTTTTCTTGCAAGTCCAAACATGAGTTTATATTGCTTAGATGGTATTTGTGATGCCATGCACAGTATACTTCCCATAAAGTATTTGCAGAATGACTTTGTGTGTGTGTGTGTTGCATTTTGTGTGTGTGTGTGTGTGTGTGTGTATGTAGACCCACTCTACTGATGGCACAGAGTTGAACCTGGAGTGAGCTTTCTCTCACTCCTGTTAACTACTGTACCTAACTGGCTGTGACAGGAGATGCAGAAAGGACACAGGATAGACAGACAGACAAAGTTGAGGCCAGGTGTGCTGGGCACTTGGATGGAGACGCACAACAGCCTCATCACTTCTTTTCTCTATTATGCTCTTCATTTACTCTTCTTCTTTTCTCTATTCTTTAAGGCCTTACTCCTTTACAATTCTTTAAAACCTCACTTCTAATGTCTTCTTTTAAAACCTTGCTTCACTATTCTCTTTCTTTAGACTCACTCTGTCCCATGTTTTCTCTTAGCTTTTCTTTAACATAATCTCTTTAAAGTTTTTGCCCTTAGACTTGCAGACAAACAACAGATGCTGAGTCTAAAAACTGAATTAGCATAACTCTTAAGTCTCAGTCCTTAGATTTGCACTGTCCCATGTTCTCTTTAGCTCTTCTTTAACTTAGCTTTTCTAAAACCCATGTATAAAGTTTTCAGTTCTGACTTGCACTGTCCTCGCAAGTTGCCAGCCAATTCTATCAACCCCTATTTAGCAATTCCCCTTAAGCAATTCTCCCTCAGCAATTCTTTTCCCTTCACTTTTTCTTCAGCCAAAAACCCCCCATCAAAAAGCCTCCCTTCATCAAAAAGCCTCATGTCCTCCTTCAGCGAGTCTTTTATACCCAGGGGTAAATGAGGTAGAGCATAGTTCTTGGAGAGGGGCTTGACATTGTAACAGGAGAAACCTGTGTTCCTACTTCTTTCTCTGATTATAAACAACTTAGGAAAAGCAGCTGAGCTGCAGCTTGCCTTCTCGCTCTCTTCTGCTGCTAGGGCTGTGCCAAATCTCAGCCTACCGATTATTTGACATAAATATCTTAGGAAAAGCAGCTGCTCTGTGTCTTATTCTTTGCCCTGGTCTGTGGCTGGGGCTGTGCTGAACTCAGCCTGCAGAATATATTTAGTACACCTGTGCTTACAGACTTCTCATACTCCACTCCCTACATGAACCAAGTGCGGTTTACGTTGTTAGTGGCTTTCACATTCTCCCTGTGTCACCTACTCCATTGTGCCCTATATTTCATACTTTCCAGCATCCCCTACAAGTTTTTGTGCATCTGTACTTATAAAAATATGAAACATACTTTCCTTTAAATCTGGGCAGTATGTTTTAAACTTGGTCCTCATAAACAAAGAATGTTCATGAGGTGACAATCTAAATGTCATACTCATTGTCCATGGAGCTTGCAAAATAGTACACACTCACCTGAACTGCTCTGCATGCAGACTTTAACTGGCTTGCTTCTCTACCACTAACTGTCACAGTCTCCTGGAACAAGTACCAGATTTAGGAATTTAGTCCTGACTCTCCCACTTACCAGCATTCATTTCTTTAAATTCATTAGCTTATCTTATCTTGGTTGTAACAAAACCCAACTTAAGCTGTAGAAAAAAGGAAGAGAGCTCTTTGTCCTTGGAATTGTAAAACAGACATTTCTGGTTACAGATAAGGCTAGATCCAGAGACTCAAACCCATGAGAACTGAGTCTCTTTGCATCTCAGCACAGCTTGTTTATGTTGATTTCTTTCTCTAAGGCCATTTTCATAATTTTGCAAAATGTTTGCTGGCCATCCCAGGCATATATCCTCAAGCTTAGCATCCACAGAAGAGGAAAGAAAAAGGGAGAGAAAAAGAGAGGAGAGAGAACAGACGAAAGAGTGACTGTAGGAGGAAGGAGAGAAGAAGGAAGGAAGCCTCTCCTTGTAATTCTAAAAAACATCCCAGAATTCAGTCTTGAACCAATCCTGACCAGGTGTTGATAGCACCCTGCTGAACCAGCCTGAGAGTGAGGCCACCCTCACCTTAACTACCAAGTCTGAATAAGGTGGGTGCATGGGCGGGGGGCTACATAAGGAAAACTGAAGCCCCAAGACCGAAAAATCACGTATGTCAATCATGCTCAACTATAAAGTGATGGATAAAACAAAATTATTTTTAAGGATGCTTTCCACCCCATAATTTCATGATTCAATTTCTTCCTAGTTCTTTGGGGTTCATTTTTCATTCATGTCTACACGTTAGATGCTCCTTGAGTTATCTAGATATCTGGCCTGCTTTTGTCTGAACAGTAACTTCCATGCAAAAAAAAAATGACATTGAGGCACTTTGCTCAATTATGGTTTTCCATTTAATTTGTAGTTTAATTCATGAATTAGTATACTAACCAGGAAACTTTCAACATCCTGACTTGAGCTGTGATTTTATCTTTTTTTGTCAGTCCTGGGGTTTGAACTCAGGGCTTGTGTTGCTAGGCAGATGCGCTACTATTTGAGCCACACCTCCAACCCTTTTTGCTTTGACTGTTTTGGAGATAGGGTGTCACATTTGGCCCAGGCCGGCCTGGGTAGCAGTCCTCCCATGTTATGATTCCCACTGTCACTAGGATGACAGAAGTGTGCCACTGTGCCCAATTTTTTTCTGTTGAAGTGGGTTTTTGCCAACTCTTTTTGCCAGGGCTAGCTGAAACCACAATCCTCCTGATCTCAGCCTCCCAAATAGCTAGGATTACAGGCATTGAGCCCCTGTGCCTTTCTGTTAATAATTTTTAATATGTTCTTTGCTAACTTGTATCTATGTCCATCCCTCTCAGTTTGCTCTCTTAGGAAAAGAGTCCTGAATAATTGTATTTATTTCTCAAATTGAAAGTTTGAATAAAAATGAAAGTAAAATTTGTTTTTGACATTTCTAAATTAAATATTTAAACGTCTAATATCCTTTTTCAGAATATATTACACATCCAAAAATCAAAATAAGTGAAACAGCATATATAATAGCAAGAGAGTGTGGGAAAGAGTGGAAAAGGATATGTTCTTACACATCTGGATCTGAAGGTGGCCAACTAAGGACTGAGAACCTGTTTTTCAGTAAATTAGGTTTTGTAGGAAAACACCAATATCTATTTCTTTGTATTATGTCTGGCAGCATTCATGCTACAACAGCAGTCTAGTAGTTGTGATAGAAACTTATAGCTCTAAAATATTTGCTCTTTGGCTCCCAAAGTGACAGCAATTGATTATTGATTTCAAAGCTGGGAAAGGATCTGATGTAGGCATTCAAGTGAAACACATAAATAAAAGTAGGAAATACGACCTTTACTCCTTCTATTTTAAACACCATGAGAACTTAATAGTCTATAAACGTCCACTTGCAATGGAAAACCATCCAGTTATGTTAATTTGTGTTTTTCTATCTCCACAAGAACTGTCTGCTTATTGTACTTTTGAACACATGCTGTTCTTAACTACATACAGGTGTTTTGGAATAAAAACAAGTACTGGATATGAATATTAAAACCCCCAAAGGCTATACCTATCATCTTCCCAGGGATCCTTGCTAGTGACTGTGCTATGCATTCTTGTTGAATCTTGAAATCCTGGAAAGACAAAGAAAAAGCAAGTTAAAAATGATTTTGATCCCATTATTGAAAAGGCTTTGTTTCTTTAAGCACTGAGAAATTGTGATATAGTACAATGAAGTTATTCTGCTACAGTTTCATAATTCAATGACAAAAATTTAGGCTTCTAGGTTTCTAGTTAGTATATAGTTCTACCACTTTTATTGTCCAAGAGAAGGTAGGTGCTGTGATGATGGCAGAGGTAAATATTGGAACTGTCCAATATCTAGTCATTAACCCCATGTGACTATTGAGGACGAGGATCTGAATTTTATAATTTGTTTAAATTGAATTAATAGCTACATATGGCTGGGGGCTACCATATTGGACAATACAGCTCCATTGTCTAAATCTAATAGGTATTAGAATGAATTGCTTTCACTTCAGAGGACCTCTCATTGGTTAAGTGCATACTGTGTGCCAGGAAATTTACCTGTGTTATCTTCATTAATGCTTTTAACAGCTCTGAGTCTGTCATTTCTATTTTATAGGTAACACTGTTGTTTCTCAGGAAAGTTCAGTAATGTGACCAAGAGCACACATCTAGTATGTGGCTGGTCAGGATTGAAACCTAGATTTTCCAAGTTCTAAGCC